TCCTGCCAAAAGGTTTCTGCAGGCTGTAGGAAATCTTAGGATATGCATTTTTGACAGGAAATTTATCTCTGGCAACTGAACTACCTAGAACGGCACTCAGCTTGAAGGAATCTAGACATTTGCTTAAGAACGGAATAATGATAAAGGATTTTGTACGAGCTTTTCTTTTCTCTAGGGAATTGATTTTCAGCCTATATTTACAGAAGTCAATGACAAAGTCCCAGAAGAAATGGCATTTTCGACTCGCATAACTAGGAGCAAAGATTCAAAACCTTACTGAGTCAGACCAATTTTCCGAAATAGGCACAGACGTGTTTACGTATGCCAGAAAGGGCTTGGTGTAGGGGAAGTGAAGTGACGACACTTGTTAGATATATTCTAATTAAGCTTGAACTGTAATGGCTGTTGAAATCATAACTGTTTTCTTAATTAATAATACAGAAGTGTTGTTCTGGGACAGTCTTGATGGTGCATGGTCATCATGTACAATGTTTCCCATTTAGATCTACTTTTTTCATCATTGCTGAGTAACATGACTACCTGAGTATGGTGAATGCGTTTGACACGTATCAAATTACTATAAGTAATCCAGAGAAAGGACAGCGTCAAATGAAACAACATCGCCTGCGTCAGCATTGTTTATATGTTAATTACAAAGATGCTTCAGTATGACGTCAAGGTTGAAGATATAGCGAGAATGTTGTCCGGTCAACGTTACATTAACAGATGTCTGGCAAGACATCTAGCGAGACAGGCGAACAAACAAGATTTCCTGACTGCGAAATGTGATGGCGACTACTTGACAAGTGTGGTTAGTTACCATTTACATGCAATCAGTACGCGTCTCTAGTACTTTTGGAGCAGTATTCGATATTTTCTTCACAAACGACGCTGGGGAAGATATTTGACTTGCTGGATGTATGCAATCAATGTGGCAACCCAACCAAACAGGACCCCATATAATTCTGAGCAGGGTAATGGACACAAAACATTTTTACAAGGTCATATTACTCCGTGAGACTACTGACCCCTGTCTTCGGGGATGAATCCAATCATGACCACTGCCGAAGGGTACGTGGAATGAGGGTAGCCTCTTACTATATCACCGTAATCACGCCAGTGGCCTGCTTCCAGGGGAACAGAATGCCTCTTTCTCATCTCGGTATTAGGTTCGTATTGTCCTTGGATGGGGGATCTTAAGCGGATTCGGAGGATGTAGATCGTGTCCACATGATATTCAAATAACACTTTAGTCATGAGACGGCGCGTGTGCACGAAATAAACAGATTATTGAGACCTGTCATATCAACGTTGAATTATCGTGGATTCAACATTTCCTCAATGTTGAAGAAAATGGATTTTATGGAGTCAGCGTTGATAAGCAGATGCTGACTCAACGTCGAAATGTTGCGGTTGAACATTGAATCAGTGTTGATATACCATTGATGTCAACGTTGAATCAATTATTGATGAAAATGAACTTTCAATATAGAATCAATGTTGACAGGCAATGTGGTTTAAACGTTAGCTGCGTTGACGAAATGACGTTGAATCAATGTTGATTCAACGTGAGTGTGCTACTTGGGAGTCCTCAGAAAGAACTCTCGAGAGGGCAATGCAATATGTGAATACTGGTTCCGAAAGTAGTAATGCGACTTCATCAAATGTATACAAGTGGACTCTCACCACCTGAAAGGCTCATGGATTTGATTGTGTTACCATGGCACAGTGGTTTGCTTCTTTCGCTACTTGGCAGATCTAGATTTGAATCAATTGGCGCAGTAGCGTCATTACCTTTCTTCAATCCCTTCCCATTGCAAAATTTAACTTCCTTTTATTCCTTTCTGAGAGCAACAACATAAACGAAAAGTGGCATACAGTAGAACGCCGATTATCCGAACTAATTGGGACCGGGGGTGGTTCGGATAACCTATTTTTTTCGGATAACCGAACACTCCCACGGAAAGGTTGCGTTAAAGAAGTTAGTGCATAGAATACAATATACAGTAATAAAAAAGACGGGGGCAGTTCGGATNATACAGTAGAACGCCGATTATCCGAACTAATTGGGACCGGGGGTGGTTCGGATAACCTATTTTTTTCGGATAACCGAACACTCCCACGGAAAGGTTGCGTTAAAGAAGTTAGTGCATAGAATACAATATACAGTAATAAAAAAGACGGGGGCAGTTCGGATAATCGTCGTTCGGATAATCGTCGTTCGGATAATCGGCGTTCGGATAATCGGCGTTCTACTGTACTTATTCCTGTCTTACCAAAGAATCGCTCCAGCAAATTTGAGACTCCATGGGTTTGTGGAGAACACTTTTTTGAAGGTTGTGAATTTCCGAAAGGAAAGTGAATTTCATATTGTTGAAAGGAGAAACCTATTGTAAGTTAGTTTTCACATTACTTCATCCTACCATAGCCAGATAGCATTCGCCTGGACTGACAGTTCACCTGGCGGTGTTTTAGTGAAAATTTATCTCTTGGGCTCAAGGAAGAGCCACTTGGTGTGCCACAGAGCGAGCAATTGGTGTACCCATTCACCCATTATCCACTTGCTTCACCAGAGCAGCCCTAAGACAAAGAAGGATGGGAATCCTGGAGTCTAAGTGGAATGTGATGGCATCAAAGTTGCCATCACATTATTTAGTCCTGTGATAAGATGATGTATTGCTACAGTGTCCTTCCCGTGTACGCGGGTCGCTCGGAATGTAGTTACACTTTGCTCCTGCAACTGAAGTTCAAAGATTCAAAGCCAATTGGTGTGTTTGATGTACTTCATTTAAGTAGCTTGTGCAAGTTTTGTCAGTTTTTGCTGATATTCACCAACACTGAAGTGCAATGAGAGGATTCTTCTCACACTCTTTGGCCTACCCTACATGGTTGTATAACGTTTTGTAATCTTAAGGTGAATCCTAAGCTTCTCAATAAAATGTATATACTTGACCACGCACGTGCTATCAGAAAGAGACAATATGTTACCTTAGCAGGAAATAGGGGGAGGCCTTTACCAAGGATAATCGCTGAAGGAGCGTGCTGACAAGGATTGTAGGATATTTCTTGAGAAATTGCTTGAAAAAAAGTTAGAAGTTTCAAGGTCGTAGGTTGGCTATTTCCAGAGAAAACCTGTCAAACATTCCAATGTAAATGGGGTCGGAAGGGGCGTACTTATCGCCCACAAAAAATATTTAGATGGAGTTTATCAATGAAATGCGAAACAGGAACTTTTACTAATGTTTAGTACAATGAAGCAAAGTTTCAAGTGGGACAGGTGGTCGGACAGGTCGTCTAGACCGCAGTCCCAGCTGGATTGCACGCCGGTACACAGTCTTGAAAGAAGTCCTTTGGCCTGTCCCCAGTCACCATCATGCCAGCTAACTGACCTCGATCGAACTGGTGACGTTGGCGAAACTGCATTTGTGGACATGGTCCTGGAATGACTTTAAAGAGGAGAGACAAACGATTGAAGCAAAGTAGAGTAGATGGAAAGTAGCAGAAAAGGAGACTGACCTGATCAGTGCAGTCGCCCTTTTCCCCATCCATCGTGGCGTTAGGCTAGCTCGGCATGTTTTCCTTGCATTGCTTTATCCTATGAACTTGAAAGTTTGTTCCATTGTACAAAACATTAGTAGAAGTTTCTGCTTCGCATTTCATTAATAAACTCTTACTAGATGTTATTTTTGGGCAATAAGTACGACTCTTCCGACCTTCCTACGACCTTGAAACTAGCATCAATTACATGACACACTAATACGAATATTATCAACAAATTTAATCAAAAACGCTCAACTTCTTCGTGTGACGTTTTTCGGCGATGAGTATAGTTCTTTGCTCTTGTCTTCCCTTTTCAGTCACACCACACTGTTTACATCCATGGCCCCTGTCATTCATAAACCCTGAGTCCGTAGGGAAGGGGTTGGGGGACTGTTGTGGAATAAACAATATACACGACCCACAGACAGGGTCGCCCTTCACGAATGGTCCCGGGCGTGTGGAGGAGGGGGAGCAGCCAAATAAGACTAGAAAATCTGTGTTGGTGGAAAAAGGGAACTTTATTACAATTCACTCTTCACCAATCTCTATCTCAACAGAATCGATTTACTAAGAACAGGAAAAAGTATTGAAAGAGGATGATGATGATCGCGCTGCCAAGGGAAACAATCCAAACCTGAGTTGATTAGAGCGGAAAAACGTCTAACGCTAAATGTACAGAAACAAGAGCCAGGGAAAATGGTTTTCGTTCAGTCTCCATCGCCTCGGTGAAGAGAGAGGGAGGGAGAGGGAGAACACGTGTTGAGAAGATTGTGCAGCAAGGAAAATAATAAAATATTATTTCAGTGAATTAATGAACCTTATAGATGGAGAGAAGGCGTGTGCCTCCGATAAAAAATTCAATCAGGGATTAAAAATAAAATTGTTTGAGGTATGGAATGGTATTACGACAGAACAAAAATATTTTGCTCGGAATTCCACCGTCTTGAGACATTATCACCGTCCGCGTCGTCAGCATGCCATCTCACGGACGAACGTACACACACAGCACGTGTACGGTAAGGAAACAAGGAATAAACGGTGAAGCTACCAGTCCAAAAATCACCCTCAAATCCTAGTTATTTTACCATCCTGGGATGGTCATGTAACCATGCCCTGAGGGTGGTTTTTCGACTAATAACTTCACCATTCCTACTTTGACTCACTGCTCTCTTTCTGTGCGTGTGGTAACCTTACCATGCCTGGGGAATGCATCTATACAGGCGCCATTTGAAGGCAATATAACAAGGCAAAGCAAGTGGGTTTTTAGAGTGGTACTTCACTGGCATCTTACCAGAGGTCTGTCAATTCTCAGCCTCATCCATAAATGAAACACGCAAATATTTTATTTTATCATCAACATTTAATGTAATGAAAATCATGGTAAAAACCAGTACCAGAATGTTCCATGATCGTTTCCAGTGGGTCATTGAGCATGATTTTCATTGCATTAAATATTGATAATAAAATATGTGTGCGCTTCTTTTATTTCGAGGCTGAGAACTTATTGATGGACCTGGTACCTTCAAAAGGTGTCCATGTGTCTTCCTCTTTTCTCCATCCAGAAGGGGCAAAGGTAAATGAGGTAATTTCATGTACTTGGTAGCACTGGTGTTGAGACAGAATGGAGGCATATGGGGTAGATTCCCTGACATTTATTACAAGGAGAACCTTGGATAACTTAGATTAAGAAGCACTCTAAATGGTTTCGTGGGATACAGCCAAAGGAATAAATAATTTTTTTCCATGTAGGAAAACACTATTAGCAGGAAAACCAAGAAAGTCTGACTTCATGGATTACCTTTATTTCTAGATGCTGATCCAGGGGTCATAATGAAAGGGAAGTAATTTCAGTATCCATAAAAACTCAGCTAACACTAAAAATACCTTGCACAACTGAAGAAAAACAAAAAAATATTGCTGATAACCTGGAAATTACCAGGAAAATATTGACCTTTTAGCATTTCAAAAAATAAATGAACAAAGCCTCTTTTTTATGTCTTGAACAGCTATTTACTTCACAGTAACTCTGAACTTCAAGAGCAAGAGGATCGCCACCTATAACTTAAAGTTTTTTATTATATTTTGGATGATTCGCTTCTTTGGCAAAATTTTTGTGTGGTTGATCCCACAAAGTCTTTCAACGACAACAAAAAGTGTGGAAGCTTTGCTTCTTCCATCAGCTAACTTCCAATACTCAATTCCAAAAATGAAATATATAGCCATTAAGACACCAACAGCTTCCAAGGCACTTTCAGTGAGAAAACGCATCCCTTCCACCCACACTTGCCAGGTTGGCTTGCCCCATAATTCACCAGTGTAAACAGCCACAGGAGCAGGATCAAGGTCTCTTCCCTGATAATATAAAATGTTCATACTATTATAATGACAGACAAAGCAACTAGAATATTGGCTAAAATGAAATGAAAATTAACTCACAGTGGTGGTGTTGGAGCACCATAGAAGCTCTTCTGACTCTCCAACAGCTACTGGTAAGCACAACAGAAGAATATCTGGAGAGACATCTGAAAGCAAATGAAAAGAAGTAATTTAGCATAATGGGGATGATGGATAGCATGCCTCCTATCCTTTGCATCACTGGCATTAACCATTTCAATGCTACAATCCAATTATCCAAGAAAACAATCTCACTAAATTTGCAAATGAGCCATGAATATTAACTTTACTTGGACGACTAATTGGTTGGCACAGTTACCATTAAGTATACATTGTTTGGGAATCTCCCCCCTCAGGAAAATTGCCTTGTCAAAAAAAAATATTGGGTAAAATATGCATGAAATAATGAGACAGTATATAGGGCTCCATGTCCAATTGAGACATGAATCAGAAAAAGATTAAAGAAAAACTTGGACAAGCTCTAGTCAAAGACAAGCTGCAGTTTGGTAGTAGAGGCAATATTTACTGACATTTATTTTGCGGCAGTTCACAAGGGTTGAGTTTCTCAAACCTGGGTGTTATAAATGTTGTGTACAGCTAGATCCAAAAGCAATCAATGCCACCATATGAGAAGTTTCGTGAAAAGATGAAGCATCCCAAGGGAGAAATGCTTTTTACCTTCTATGTGAGATATGACATTCATTTGCTGGGGGGTAGGTACTGTAGAAGTAACTCCTGGGTACCCAAGAGATTATTTCTCAATGCCTGTTTCAAGCAGTTTCCTGCCTGTGTAACTCTTCCATACTCTCGCAGCATCTATCATGAAGGAGTTTGACACATTACAAGTAGCTATTGAAAGTATGAAATGTGGATGGGAGGTAAAGCAGGCCTCATAACACAAATGTTTCATTGAAAGTTTTTGGATGCAGCTTGCAGGTGCCACCTCTGAGGCAGAGAATTTAGCTTCCAGTAAAGATCATCAGTACAAGTCTATGAACAACTTTCAGAATTCCTTGCCTTGAACAACATTCATAATTTTTTATAGCTTCATGTTCAGGGATTATCTAGATTCAATTTGAATTTGTCATGCAAACAACTTCAGAGCAATGTTTTTCAATGACTCTGAACGTGGACCCAGAACAGAGTAGGGTCTGGAATCCACAACAGGCCTTTGGAAAGGAAGCACCACCTCTTAGTACTGTGCTTGAGTGATTCTCAAAGTTCCAACATTTCTCATAGAAGGGAGTCCTTGAAGGATGGGCCTCACTCTGACCAGCCACCAATTGCAGTGGCAAATAAAAATGTGGCCATTATATAGAAAATGTTTGAAGAGGATGATTTAATTACATATGGGGAAATTCAGGGAAATGGTATTGATCAGCAGCAATGAACAACATCCTGCACAGACAGCTTGGTCTGAGGAGGGTCACCAATCAATGGGACCCTCATGATCTCAACCAAGTTAAAAGGATGCCAGTGTGAAAAGATGCAAAGTCATGCTCCAGAAATTCAACTTTGTATTTTCAAATTCCATCTGTTTTATTATATTAAAGATAAAAAATAGGATATTTCAATTTGACCCAAAAAAAGTATTCAGGCTCCTAACTGTATGTTTATAACGTTTTGCTTGAGTATGAAATTAATAGGTTTAAAAATGCCTGAAAAAATCTGACAATATGAAATGCAAGCTGCCCTACCCAAGGATTGCCATCTAGTCCACATGGCTCAGCAAGATGAGGATATGAATCAGTAATGGCTCTTGCAATCATCACATACTTGTCATGATCAAGCTTCCTGCAAAATTGGATAATACTTTTCTACATTGCTACATATGACCAGAGAAGATGGAATAATTAATCATATTATTGACTCCTTCTTCATTCAAATAAACACAACTTTTTCAGATATTCCGACACATCTGATTATGTTCAGTACATTTATGGAATCACAGGGAACTAAATATAATAGGCACTATTATATAATAGGCATACATGGCACTGATGGAAGCATTGAACAAATAAGGACCAACGAAAAAATTTCCCACTTTTCTCATTAGCATGGAGCTCGCAACTTTCATTCAGTGCTCATTTTCTAAACAAAAAACACTCTTGAAGTTTAAGATGATGATGACCTGGCCCCTCTTACTTTCACCTCTCAAGGTTGTTAAAGATCACTGGCCACCATTTCCAATCAAACTAGGACAAGCAAGCAACTTCATATTGCTGCCTGTATCGTAAGATAACGCATTCTTTGAGACAGGCATTTAAAACCTAATGAAACGCAGGAACAAATGCTAGAACACGTATGGTGAATATATCATGAAGTAGTAAAAGACATGCACTTTCATATGTACAAGGTGTGACCAGAAAGTAACAAGACAAGGCCTGCATTGTGGAAATACCTACCTTACACTACTTCTCCGCTAAGTCACTACACAGGTTGAGACATTTGTTCCATCCAAGAACCAGCTATTTCATGACATCCTCATAGCATTCCATGTCCTGTGCACATAACCACACCTGAACCATAGCATGGGTCTACGCTTAAATGACCGACTGGCATCGGGTCGGGCCTAGGCCTACCTTCATTCGTTCAAACGAAACTCAATCCTCGACTTACTTAATTAGGCCTAAGGATGAATCCTTGGTCTTCCAAATACTTACACGATGTGTCAAGTTAGGTCAATCACAGGCCAACGCAGTCTCTCATGATCAATTTCAAAGGACGATGAAACCGATTAGAGGCCTGTATCGACTTTCATGACCAATATCAGGGCGGACGTGGAACATAAGGCATATCTAAAGTTCCCCGAATCATCTCGACTAGTTCAGAAGAAAGAATGCACCTAGGAAGCATGACATACATGCCGGGCGCCATCATTAATTCAGGGATGTCCGGATAAGGTGAGTCAAGTCAAGAGTCAAAATACCTGTATATCCATATCCCACAAACTATATCGCCCACTGCTTAGCATCGTTTCAATCCCAGCTCATTTAATGAAATCAGCATTAAAAAAGCTCATAAATTGAAAAGGAGAATATTCAGATGAGAGTCTCTGGATTCATGACTAAGAGGTCATAAAATTGAAGTAATTCTGGTATGATATTCGGCAACACTGGGGACAGGACTGGAGCCATCGCTTTAAGCAAAAATGAATGACAGCTATTTATATTTTTTTTAATGGCGAATTGGTGTACCACAAGCAGTAAAAAGCCACTTTCTGCAACCTACAAGTCAATACCTTTCTTTTTGTTCTCTTTCCTTCGATATCTCCTAAGGAATTACTACCCAAAGGGGAAGTAAAAACCAGAGTGTAATTCACATCTTTGCAAAATAACGTTTAATGACCTCCACAATCTAGGGGGTTGAAGATTCAAATTTTCTGTTGCGGTTCTGTATCGAGAGAGGAAAAAGGAAGCAAAATTTGGGTACTTTTCATTTTTAGAGAAGAGTGCGAGAAGGTTTAAATTTTCTACGTTAAGGGGTTGAAGAAAGGTAATAGGCGCTACAGCGCCTGCGGATAATTATCACGAATTCGAATTCCTGGAGAGACATCTGCCGTGTCCTCTCCAGCGCAATTAACTGCCCTAAGGATGTGAGGCCTCTCCCCCTTCCACTTTTCAATTATTAATTTTGCCTCTAGATGTACGGTGAGGGAGCTTCTCCCACATTAATTAGCTCAAGTGTTTGCGATAGACTCGGATTTGTAAATTAGCACAACATGCTGCCATTATTTTCCAAATTGCTGCAGCAGTGCTAGCGTCACTCTCCTGGTTAAATCACAAGGGCAAGTTAATTGAGTGCTCTTTGCACGGTAAGCAAACCATGCCTGGTACCCACTTAGAATGAGCCTCAAATGGTATTTCTACCAAGAGGTTCGTAATGTGACTATTTTGAACTTTCATCAGGTGAATCTCGGGAATCCATGAACAGTCGGAAAGGAATTTTTACCTTGTCAATGGTAATATGACCGTTCCTGAATGATGACTCTACCACCCAGCACTTCAGAAGACGGTAATATTACCTAATTAGAAAGAAAAACAACAGCACGCATGGTTACTTTACTGTGATGTCTTGGTAACCAGACCGACTTGTGCTGTGTGTGTAGGCTCCCGAGTTTCACTTCGATGGTCTTCTTCCGGAGTCGATTATCTCCTTCGAGTCTTAGAACGATGGTATGTGGAGAAGTCGCCTCCAATTTTACATGCGCTAATACTGATAAAAGCAACGAATCATCATCCCTCTCCTCGATGTAAAAGAAAAATCGGGTGAATGTGAGATGAATATTTATTCTAGAGAGAGAAACGAAATATGGGAGAAAGAAATGTGAATAGCTAACAACTGGAAACTGAAAGTTCGTTTTGAAGAGAATCAGGAATAAATTATTGAAACAATTTCCTGCAAGCAATCATGAAACCATTCAGACAATGCGCCTATGCGACTATGCGTTGAAATCGCGCGATTTCAACTCATTTGGTGAGATTTGTGTAAGATACAATGAAAAGTCCGGTGCCCGCTTGCGATAACGGTTGGGAACTCCGTAGCATGGGAGTTCATCTCTATACGACGACGGCGACGATTTCTCTCTGTTCATATCATCTAGATTCGTTTCGTTCACATCATCATCGGCTACGATTTGTCTGTAGATGATTTCGGGAAGCAATATGAACTTTTTCATATCCTACAGGAGAGATGCTAAATGCTCAATAACAATAGGTAATATGGGGAAAAGGAATTCGACACCATCTTTTTTCAATATCGATATCTTTTTCCTCCCCGTCGCACTTGAATTAGCAAGAATACGAATGACTCTCTTATGCGATTGCAATAGATGGATCTGCTCGAAAGGAAGATGCAAGAAGTTTTATATTTCGCTAATGACCTGTAGCTGCCCATCAGTCACGCATGAACGCTATGAATCTCTTCTCGAGTCGCCTGTGCTGAATATAAGGGAAACGGCCAGTGTCTTCTGATTAGAGCGAAAGAATCTAAAGTTTCTTTAGCCTCTCGACCAATGCTTATGTGTGTCAGGATAGCCTACGAATTGAGTTTAATACTCTCGTTTCCCACTCTCGGGATTTACACGAGAACCCAAGACTAGGACGGGGATAGCAAGTTTCCTCCTGACTAGGAATCAACCCCCACCAATAGAAAATCCCGGGGATGCAAATGTCACTGTCAAGTTCAGTCAGTTTATATAGACAGGGAACTGTATCCATTATCTGACCAAATGTATCTATATATAGTTGTCGGGTGTTTACTGGGAAATATCCGCGGGCGAAACGGAATGGGTTCTCCTTGATCCTAATTACACTATCCAAGCAGCATGTTTACGTAAACAAGATATCAATTTTTTGCATTGTTAATTTCTTGCGATTGCCCTGAAAATGAAATCGTTTCCGTAAAATTTACTTTCCTATATTTACGTCTCCAAAGTGTACATGTATTTTACATTAACTAGACGTCACTCCATCTGACATAAAGTGCATTAAATAAAGTCTAAGCAAAATTAACACCACACCATCCATATGAAACTTCAGCTGACCATCCTGCAGTTGCAGTACCAAGATTCCTCACTAGATGGAAGGATTGTTCCCTGCACCCTACAAATCCTATTAAGTACCGGCTTTCCTGATATAGTGTCAGGTTTTCTTACGGACCTTCCACTTTTTATTATGCAATCCATGAATACTATTCATTCATGGACGCGCCTTCGGCGCTCTGCGATCTAAGGCATCCGTTTTCGATGCTCACCCCTACTAATGCGGTCAAACTCCTTTGTTCATGGGTTCAATTCTCGCACCATTAAAGTAAAGGTGTCAAAGAACATATTCTTAATGACGCCATGTCATTTGTAGCATAAGGATCCCCAATTAATAATTGTAAGTGTGTCGTTTAGTGTTCCAT